AGTAAGGGTATATATAACTTTTTATTCTGGTTAGATTAACCAGAATTCTGGTTATTTTAACCAGACTTTTTTTTCAGTGTATCGTCAACCGGGGCTATTCTACTCATCCAAGGGCTATTATACTCAGTGCCAGTTTTTAATTAATAAAATATTTCACCCTAAAAAAAAGTAATCTTGATTCTAGCGAATTCCTCTTAATTTGATGCATATTTTCCTCTTATATATTGTATCAAAAGTAATAGTCTTCACTTGAGAGGATTTTCCTCTCACATATAATAATTTGACAATTATGGTTATAAACTGATAAAGAAAAGGTATTATGCACTAAATTAAATATCTTTAATTAAATATTAAATATAATTAATGATTTATAGTTAATTACTTACATTAATTAATAGATTTGTTTATTTATTTAACTTTAATTCAATGTTTTTGACATCAGAAACTCAAAAAAATTGTTTTGTTTTATTATTAGTCACCAAAGAATAAAAATATTCTACATTCAAGTGGAATACTTTTGTTTTAAGAGGAAAAATTGAGAGGATATTAGAAGAGGATTTTTCCTCTAAATATGAGATTACTTTTTTCAGGGTGTTATATTGAAATGTTTAAATTTGACGCTTGGTGTAAATATAGTTTAATAGTTTTATTACAGAGGGCGCTAAATGTTATTACTTAATTTTTTGTCAGAATGCAGAAAAAATTCACAAAGTCGTAAAAGTCTGAAAACATTTTTTGCACATTCGCAAACTTTATACCGGATTTCGAATATAGTTTTATATTATTTCGCAAAATATTGCAAGTGTTGTCAATTTAGTTGTGATGTGATAATTTTTTATTGCGTATTTTAAGAGAAAAAAGCGCGAAAAACTAAAAAACCGGGATTCTCTGGGTAATTATACTCATTTCTTAAAATTAATTATTTTTCGAAATTTTTTTTTTTTGTAAAAAATAAATATAACCCTCACAACAAAAGGATATTCAGGATATCCTTGGGACGTCCTGGGGATATCGATTTTTTTTCGGCGGTTTGGATATCCCTGGGATATCTTAGAGATGTCCATGGATATCCAGAGGATATCTTAGGGATATCCGAATCGCCAAAAGCAAATGGATATCCCCAGGACGTCCCAGGGATATCCTGAATATCCTTGTGTTGTGAGGGAAAGTAACAATTATATAGTAAGTTAACAGTATCAATTAATTGTATCTGCATTTAATATACTTAAATATACCTATTTATTTTTTACAGTATTTAATTTAAATATTTAATTTGAAAATTTAAATTCATTTAATATTCTACTTTCAAGCGCAATTATGATGGAAGACAAATGGTAACTTTATTAATAGTAATCGAATTTCATACTAGGAAAAAATTATTAGTTAAGTTTTCTATTTTATTTGAGTTTTGGATTTTTGTATATATATATAAAATGTGTTTATATTTACTTTCTATTATGTACTTTTAAATATAATTTCAATTCTGTTTAGTTATAGAGTTTTAAACCTACTTGTAGCTCCATCTTTAAATTCATGGTTGAAACTTCACTATGTATAAAGAAAATTCCTACTTTATCGAAACAGAAAAATTAATATTAATTTTTTTTTAGTTTTTGCAACACTTGGAGAAAAAATTTTTTTTTGTAACGACCAACATAATGAGAACAAGATTTGAAAAAATTGTTTTAACTATAAACTTTCAAATTATTACTTTTATTCGAATTTTTTTAAGTCTTTCACTGGTGGCTCGATCTCTTAACTAATGGTTGAACTTGAATGTACGATTTCAATAGATAAATTGTTTGTGTTTCATCTTCAATTTTTATTTTTTGAGAATATTTTTTTAAAATAATATATAGTTAAAAAATTTACAATCATTCCATCAAAACAAAATGATTCACTTCAATGTTAAAATATTAATCTTATCATTAATGTTATTATTATATATTATAAAGTCCAATCTAAAGATTTTTATTCCGATAATTATTGTATATATATATAATATTGATTGAACGGAAAAATTACATTTAATAAAAAAGACAATTATACTTTTTTTTTTAAATTTGAACTCGGATGTTTTCGATCATTTTTCGATTTACCTCTATGAAAAATGACAGATTTTCATTGAATTGAATATTTTGAAAAATCTTTTCTTTAAGGTCGTTTATCCACGGAAATGCAGACCTCTAGAAGAAAATAATAATTAATATTAACACTTTTTAATTTAAAAAAATTTAAATAAACTAAGTTTTTAACATTGCTTTTTGTAGAACAGTTATTTATATATTATTGCACTGAAAAAATTTTGGTGCAATAGCTGCCCCAAAACGAAAAATTTCTATATTCAATTAACTTCATACTTAATATTTGCCATGAGTTTTTATATGAATGAAGTTAACTGAATATAGAAATTTTTCGTTTGGGATAGTTGTTGCACCAAAATTTTTTCAGTGTGATTATTTAATATTTTTTTTATTTTAGGAATTTGACTAGAAATTCCGGACAAAAACATAAATATAAGGTATTCACTAGATTCAAAAAGAGCACTTGTCAGAGTCTCGATAGTTTTCCTAGTTTAAAAAATGTAAATACATTTATTTATTAATATTAAAAAAAAAATTATTTAAAAGGATTATAAACTATTATTAGATGCAAAAAATTAAAAACAGTGTAGTTATTTTGTTATCACAAATAAAAAGCAATTCAATCTTAATATTCAAGATGAATATAGGCAAAAGATCTGTATATCCACGTAGCTGTGTGGACTACTTATGCGACTCTTGGCCTAAGGGTCCCAGGTTCGATTCCCCATGCGTGCAAGATTTTTCAAAATTATTCTTGTGTTTCTCTTACTGCATATCCTTTCTTAAAAAAGACAGTGCATGAAAATGTGTCGAAATATCTCGATGGTCGAAAAAATCGAATGTAAGAAAAAATGAACTTTGCTTTCCAGAGCATCTTAATCAATATACAATTTTTGGCATAACATACATAATTGCAATAAAAATACACTTGCAAAGCATTTATTTGTTGTAAATATTTGCAGCTGTCATGAATCAAACACGAACATAACCTACATTTAGTTCAAATCACTTCATTGGCCCAAGACAAAATAGCGCGCGCTTTTTTAAAATAATGAAATTTATTAAATTATAATAAAATAATTGTAATAAATTAAATTATTATGAAAATAATATTACTTTGAATAAAAAAGTGTTTTTAGTTTAAAAAAAAAATTATTCAACAATTATTATTATTTTTAGACAAATTTTACAAATAGATTATTATTTTTCTGTTTGAAACTTTTTCTATAATTACACGCCTTTTTGCATTTTGTTAACAATATTATTAAATATTTAATAAAATAATTGTAATAAATTATGAAACATAAATTGAAAATTAAATTGAATGGACAAAGAATAGAAGCAACAGAGACGGCCAATAAGGACGTCGGAGGCGCTAGTATTCCATAATCTTAAATAGAATATAAGTACTGGTATAAGGAAGCAAAATAATCATGAAAGAACCACAAAGTTAATAAATATATATGAGGCATTCCACGGGAAATTTTCATTCAAAATTTTTTTTTTGCCCGAAACATTTTTTTTCGAAATCTATATGAAAAATAAGAAAATATGTATTTTTTTATTTGATAAAAATAAAGGAAGTTATGATTTTTTTTAAATTTCACAGAAAAAACATTGATCTCAAATTGAGTACGAAATTCATACTCAATTTGATACGCATCAAATAAGAAACTCGTTGTCTCATTTCGAGTAAAAGATAAAAGTTTAAAAATATTATCAAATAACATGTAATTATATAAAAACCCCCCAAAAAAAACATAGATTTACTCTCTAAATCTGAATTAGTAAAAATGTTTACTAATTTAAATTAGTGACTCACTTTTTGCTTTGGAATTAGTTAAATTTTACTAATTGTTAGTAAAAGTTACTAATAATTAGTAAAATTTTACTAATTCAGAAGCAAAAAGTGAGTCACTAATTTAAATTAGTAAACATTTTTACTAATTCAGATTTAGAGAGTATAATAAAAATAACAAACAAAACTTATATTATATTGTTTAATTTAAAAGGTAATTGCTTGTAATCGTGTAGTAAAATTTTAAGTAAGAGAAACATTATTTTTAGGTTATGAACGTGAAAACATAATATGTGTTTTGACAGCAAAAGCGGTACTGCTGCCAACCAAAACAATGGCGCGAAATTTGAAAACTGGTAAAATTAATTATTCTTTAAGTAAATAATGATTAATATTTTTTTTTCTTGAAAAATATTATAAATATTCGCACTGACGTTAAGAATCTATTTAATATTATATTCAAATATTATCTATTTAATATTATATTCAAATATTAGAAAAAATTATTTAAATTGTAAATCAGTTTAAAAAAGATACCAACCTAAAACTCTAAAATTAAAGCATTCTCAAATTGAGTAAATTGAATTTTGTCATTTACTCAATTTGATACCAAATCTCAAAATAAGTTAAAACAAAAATAAGTCCATGTTTTTTCTGTATATATTTCATAATTTTTTATTCATTAGTACAATAGATTAAAAAAAAATGTTTTAAAAATACATTGCCTTTGATATGACGTTAAATTTCAAAAAATCATAACTTTCTTCATTTTTATCAAATAAAAAAATACTTATTTTCTTATTTATCATAATATAGATTTCGAAAAAAAATGTTTCGAGGAAAAAAAAGATTTTGAATGAAAATTTCCCGTGGAATACCCCATATACATCTATAAGGAAGCAATTATTATTATTATTATTATTATTATTATTATTATTATTATTATTATTATTTATTTATTTATTTAAATACATTAACAGTTTGAGGAGAAATAATTGTAAATTATACTAGGATAAATAAAGATGAATAAGATGATGAGATTGTATAGTATATGTATAGTGCGTAATAACAACAACGGTACCCGGCTTGGCCCTTCATCAAGGTGAGACCCAAGTTCGGTTCGAGTTGTGGCGCGTTTAGTGGTGAGAGGAAAGTGATCCAACGAGCGCACAAGGAGTACAAAGTGAACGAGTCTCATAGGTATGCACGCGCTCGAAACGAACACATGGTACAGTCAACATTCTCGATATATATATAATTTATATATACAAATATATATATAATGTATATATACAAGTAAAAATATTCGATGCAATCTGACAATAAATACATTGCCGAAATTTTCGGCTTTCTCGGATGACAAAAGTGAAATTTACCAGTGATTTAACAATTTTTTTTTTCCCATGGCCTCTCATTTCTATTTATTATTATTGTTATTATTGTTATTATTGTGTATATAATTGTTCATCGAAAATTGATAATCTTCGATCTACAGCTTCACTCACAGGACAATTTTGTTTGCCACGTTAAGCAAACATATATACATCAATCTTGCGCCAATTTTTATAAACAAGCCGGTAAGTCAGTGATAATATATATATACTTTGATAACAATAATTATTATATTGCAAATTTAAATATAAAATTAAGGGGACTTTTTGGTTTAGAATTTGAAAAAAATTGATTTTCTTTTTTTTTAATTGAAAATGTTTCTAAGTATCATAAAATTACTGTCCCAAAACGTTTTTTTTTAAAAAATATGCAACAAAAAGGCCAAAAATTGGAATAAAAAATTGTTTGATAGTCCTGGCTCAATGTATTATAATTTATGAAAACTTTTAACGCCCATGTGCAAAATGTCAAGACTGCTAATACGGCTCAATATTGGCCCAGTAATTTCTGCCGAAGTATCGGAAAACGTTACTGGACCAGTATTGGCGATTAATTCGTCCCATTATTGGGCCAATATTGGCATCGATTCTCAGTTACTCTAATTTGCCATTATTGGGCCGATCTCCGTCACATAACTGGGCCAATATTGGCACCAATACTTGGTAATTCTACTTCTGTTCCATTATTGGGTCATTATTGGCCCATTAACGGCTGAAATATTCCTCAAATGCAGCTTATCAAAACATTTTTGTGTTGAGATTCCCATATTCGCGAATAGTGTAGTGGTTAGCGTGTTAGACTTCGATGCGTTAGGTTGCGAGTTCGGTTCCCGCGAGTGTTACAAATTTTCAAATGTTTAAACAATTGCGCTTTCTGTCAGGACTTATATTATAAATTTATAATGAATTAATTAGTTAATTAATTAATAATTATAGTTTTATAAACTTTTTTAAACTTTGACAATACTGGGCCACTAATGGCAGCCAAGATTGGCCCAGTAATGGCGTCTGATACTTGGCTGCCGACGTCCAACCGCAGTTAACACCACAAGAGTCGGCCCAAAATTGTCTGCCAAGTCTCGCGTTGCTTGTTTTGCCAATACTGGGCCAGTATTGAGCCGTTTTGGTTTTCGCACTTGGGCGCGTTTTTCTCGAAAACACATTTTTTTAAACTGTTGCACGGCTTTTTTCGAAATCTACCGAACCGATTTTAAAAAACCAAAGATCGTTCGATTTCTTATTTAAAAAACTAGAGAATAAACCTTTAAAATTTCATATTTCTACCCCCTGTTTTTTTTTGTACGGAGCCCCAAAAACACGGTTTTTTTGCGAATTTTAGACAAAAATGTACATAAAAAATAAAAAAAAAACTTTTTAAAAAATCGTAAAAAACCTTTATGAAGAGATTCCATTTGAATTTTGAATTTATATATTACTGGTTGTCAGAAATCAAGTGCACCAAAAAAAAGGTACCTTTTGGAAGACGCCATCTACAGCTAAGAAATTAAACTAAATACACTCAAACAATTTTTTAAAATTTTCCTTACAATAAAAGTTTTAAAACGTGTCTTTTTTGTCAATTCTAAACCAGAAAAGGCCTTTAATAATAATAATAATAATAACTATTTATTATTGTCATTCTTTTTTATATTTACAAATTTTTAATTTTTTTTTGTACAAGAAAAAAAGTATAAAAGAAAAATTTGAATTTTCTTTCTAAACGTTTTTCTTTTTAATAATAAAATAATCATATTTGTGTAATACTTTTCTTTTTGTGTGAAGAATTTATGATTTATAAACTAAATTCTGTATACAGTTGCATTTTTATATACATAGTGAAAAAAATATTTCCTTTTAGAATATATATATATATATGTTGAAAAATTATGATTTTATATTTAAGGCCAGGACCAAGTCGAGTCAGCTGTTCCTTTGAAGTTTCAATGGAACAGCTGACATGACTTGGACCTGGCCTTAAGAAAATTTTTAACACTCAAATATTCTTAATTTAAGAATATATCATGGCCCTTATATATTTGAGAATAAAATCGAATGCATAATATTTTTAAAATTAAATTATAATAATATTTTTAGAATAATAAATTCTTTTTGAATTAAAAAATTTTTTTTAAATACTCTCTTAAAATAACACAAAAATAATCTTAATTTAAAAGTTTCTTATTTTAAGAATAATATTTATACTTATACTGCACTTTAACCATTATAGCGCCTACCTAGATTTAGTTAATATTTTATATTTTGTATTGTTACTTACGTAACTATTAGAATTTAGGAGTACTTTTGTACGAAAGGGCATGTCCCGTTAATAAATGAAATTGAAATTGAAATTGAAATATTCAAACATTAAGAATAAAATCTCATGCATTATATTCCTAATATTAATAACACATGCAATTTTATTTTTATAGAATGTAGGGGGCGAATATTCTTAAAATCAGTATACATACTCTAACTCTGAAAATGAAAATATATTCTATTTTTAAGAATATAAAGAATCTATTTTTTTCTGTTTGAAATTATAACATCATTATTATTATTATTATTATTATTATTATTATTATTATTATTATTAATTTTATATTATTAATTAAATCAATATTCTTAAATTATGAGAATAAATTCTTCTAATGAAAATAAAATATATATAATAGAAAATTTAAGAACATAAAATGTCTTAAAATATTCTCAAATTGAGAATTTTTTTTTATATATTACCACTCAATAATTTAACTATTGAACATGTTTGTTTATTAACCACTTTTTTTCTGTTATTAATGATGAAAATTTTCAATAAAAACAAAGATATCAATTGTCTAACTTTCATGTGTGGAAGTCCACTACGGTAGTGGTTACAGAAAAAAAAAGTAGGACGACCTAAGTAATCAGGTGAAATGTTGTGTAGCAATGTTACTTTTGAAAAAAAAAACAGTCAATAGAAATTATTTTTTATCGATTCAGTGAATATTTGTTAATTTAAAAATTTATTTTATTGCAATAATTTATTATTATAAATTAGAGTCTAAATAATCTAGAATTAAAAAATTGAAAATATAAATTACATACGGAAGTGATCTTAACGTATGTATATATTAAATGAAAACGAGTATTCTGATAATTTGAATCGAATACAACTTTGTAAATGATAACTTTTTTTTTAAATTATAACTAATGAATAGTAATTATGAAAGATAAATTGGATTTTACTAGGTTGAAAAAAATGTTCTAAAATTGAGAATATCTTCTTGGCATTTGTTTAAGAATATTTGAAATTTTAATATTCAATTTAAATAATTAAATTTAATACTCTTAAATTTAGTATATTCTGTGCTTATAAGAATAATATATTCTATATTTAAGAATATATATATTCTAAATTTGAGAATGTGTTCTGAATTTAAGACAATAATCTAAATTTAAGACTATTTTTTTAAATTTAAAAACATATTCTCAATTTAAGAATATATTCTGAATTTATGAACATATTTAAAATTTAGGATTATATTCTCTATTTAAGAGTATATTCTAAATTTAAGAGTATATTCTAAATTTAATAGTATATTCCAAATTTTATACTATATTCTTAAATCAAGAGTACATTCTAAATTTAAGAGTATATTAACTTTAAGACAATATTTTTAATTTAAAAATGTATTCTAAATTAAAGAGTACATTCCAAATTTGAAAATAAATTTTAAAAATACTAATAATATATTTTAAGGGGGGAACACCAGTTGTAACTCAAAAAATAATGCTTTTTTCAAGAATATTTTCCAAAAGAACAATGAATCTTTTTAAAGAATACTATTTATTAGTTAAAAGTACATGTAAAAAGCTGTAATTTAAAAGAAAAAAAAAATTTTTTTAACAAAAACTTTTGGAGATATGAGCCATTGAAGTGGCGTCTTAAGAAAAAAGGCGAATTGCGGTGACCAGCATTCTGCAAGTATACTTCGTCTGAAATACAAAAATGAAATTGATTTACATTTATTATAAGATTATCTAGTTCGTGATCGAAGGATTTAAAAAAAAAAAAAAATTTGACAAAATGGCGACCTGTCAAAGTCAAAAGTATGATTTTCGTTAAAAAAATACGGTCGATTTTCAGCTATATAAAAAAAAGTTTTGCATAAAAAAAAAAATCCTTCGATCACGAACTAGACTTATATGTGTAAATGAAGCACACTAAATTTTAAATAAATCGGTTTAATGGTATTCGAGTAATCGTGGTCACCGACTTGGAAAATGTCATTTTGAGAAAAACGCATTCAAAGTTTCAACTTACTTTTTTTTGTTCAGAAGAAATTTTGTTTCCAAGTTACAAAGAGTCATCGATTCTTGGACCATATAATAACTCTTCCGCAGTGGTTGCCGTTTCTAAATCATAGGAAAAGGCCATCTGTCGTTAGGGTCAGTTATGGCTGGCCACCTTGTATGAAGCCACGGGACGCGCCGATGCAGTGTTCTGTATATCTCATTTATTTTTCACCGGATCAACTTTGAAATTTACAGACACATTTCTAAATATGTGTACTTTAAGAAAATGCACAAAAAAAAAAATTGATTTTTCGAAAGTTACAACTGGTGTTCCCCCCTTAATTTAAACACTGGTGTATAAAAAATTTAGAAATTCACCTACTTTAAGAATTTTATAATCTAACTGCAAGAATAAAATCCATGAATTAAATTATCTTTAATAGAAATCAAGAATTTATCATTTAAATTTAGAATACAGTATTTTTATTTATTGCATTTAGCAATCGTTTTAAAAAATTAATTAGAATTCAAAAAGAAAAAAAAACCAGAATATCCGTAATTATTTTTTTTTACCTTTGTATTTGTCATTCTCATAAATGCTGGAAAAAAGTGTAAAAGACATGTGTCAGAGGAAAGATGAAAACATTCTTCTCGCAATCAGCATCATAATTTGCATTTACAATATCAATTGGTATATGACATTATAGAAAAATAAGGAAACTTTGTTACTTTTTTTTTTATTGTATGTCGCATGTATATTATTTATTACAACTAAAAAAACGTAATCTCCATTTTTCAACGTATTTCCACTCATTTGGATGAGAAAATATAACCGCAACGTCTAAGATTAATCCTCTCAATACACAAACCAAAAGTCAATTAATTTTTTGTAAAAAAAAAAAAAAGATAATGTAATAATAGTATGTATAAATCTTATTTAATCTCCTCTGAATACAAACTCTTATTAAAGAGGAAGTACTAAAGCGTTTTCCTCTTCGATTAAGAATTTTTATATGGAATTTTTTAAATTCCAAGTTTTTTACACTCATTTTCTATGTAAGATTATTTACATGTATAGTGTATAAAATAATTGAAAATAATTCAGAAAAATCTCGCATACATGGGGGCACGAACCCAGGACCCTTGGGACGCGAGCCGTGTACTCTGGCCACACAGCTACGTTGACTTACAAATTTTTTGCCTATAATACACTTTTCTTGAATATTAATACTAATCTACCTTCGGTTTGTGATAACAAAATTACTACAATATTTACAATAGGGCTATAGTTAGGGTCTTTCTATTTTTCCCTGATACAAAAAATGTAAATTAACTATATCTTCAACATTAACTTTTGCAAAAAAAAAGTTATTAACAATTAAAGGTAATCTTTATACTACCGTCATTTGGGGCTATTATACTCGAAAAAAGGCTACTATTTTACTCAGTGCTTCACTAAAATTCAGAATTAAAACAAAAAAAAATCTCAACCCTTGTGTTATGTTGTGGACATCCCTATAAGTTAGAAAAAAAAAAATTTTATCAGAGTTATAGAATCTTCAAATGGTGAGTATATAATAGCCCCACGTTTGGGGCTATTATACTCAGTAAAGTTTGTTTATTTATAAAATATCCTCAAGATTTTTTATACAGCTTTAGCTATATATATGAACTCTTTTCTGCAGATAGTCTAGATTACATAAAAAAAAATAAATTTTAATTAATTTAATTTTATTAAAATCCATATTTTTTAAAAAAGGTATAATTTTCTTTAAATTAACATTTTTTAGGTTAAGTAAACAACTCAATATAATTTCCCACAAGCTTTTTTTAGTTATTTTAGGAGAAAAAGTTACAAAATTAACTTGAAAAACATATATATAAATATTAATGAAAGTTACTGTTTGAGGTTATGTTGTACCCTCTGAAATCTTAAATTTCATATTTCTGCTTTTTCACATAAAAGGATGTCAAAAATTTATACAACCCAAGAAGCACGTAATATAACCTCAATATCAAGGTAATATTACATGTAAGATTCGTAATATAACGTTGTAATATTACAGTAATCTTACAGTGATCTTAAAATGTCCGCCTCAAGGTAATATTACCGGTAATTTTACTGTAATATTACGCGCTAATATTAAGGTAATATTTCAGTAATATTGCAGTAATATTATACCGTAATATTAAGGTAATATTACAAGAGAATATTACAGTAATATTATGGGAACATTTCTTTACGAAAAAAATCTACCCATCCAGGGAATCGAACCCCGAACTCAAAGCACACGAGTCCAGAGTTTTACCAACAAGCCAAATTGACTTATAATATATTTACGTTTTTTATGCTTTATGAATAACTCAAATCAGTCTGTAATATTACCGTTAATATTACTGTAATATTACCGCGTTAATATTACAGTAATATTCCCGGTAATATTACCTTGAGGCGGACATTTTAAGATCACTGTAAGATTACTGTAATATTACAGCGTTATATTACGAATCTCACGTGTAATATTACCTTGATATTGAGGATATATTACGTGCTTCTTGGGAAACGATACACTATACATTTATATTTATCTTCTATGAAAAAAAGTTACGAAAAATAATTAATTTTAAGAAGTGAGTATAATTACCTAGAGAATCCTGGTTTTTTAGTTTTTCGCACTTTTCTCCTAAAATACGCAATAAAAAATTAGCGCATCACAACTAAATTGACTATAGATACTGGCAATATTTTGCAAAATACTACAAAACTCTTCGAAATCCAATATAAAGTTTGCGAAAGAGCAAAAATTTTTTTCAGACATTCACAAATTTATGAATTTTTTCTACGTTCTGAAAAAAAATGAAAGAATAACATTTAGCGCCTTTTGTAATAAAACTATTAAACAATATTTATACACCAAGGGTCAAATTTAAACTATATAAATATTTTATGAATTAAAAACTGGCGCTGAGTATAATAGCCCCTGGGTGAGTAAAATAGCCCCGATTCTAACAAAAAATTAAATAATAGAATTTAGCGCCGTTTGTAATAAAACTATTCAATAATATTTACACTAAGCGCGTCAAGTTTAAACATTTAAATATAAATATTTTATTAATTAAAAATCAGGAAAAGAAGCAGGCGCAAAGCGCCTACATCTACACCGAAAAAACGGTATTCTAGTTTTAAGATTATTATTTTCTTAAAAAAATATTCTTAAAAATATTCTTAAAATATTCTAGTTTTAAGAATGTTATATTCTTACATAAATATTCTTAATAATATTCTTAGGCAGATTCAAACTTTAAGAATATTTTCTATGTACTAAATCTTCTTCTTCTTAAAACAAGAATATGCGCTAGAATTGACGTGCTGCTAGCTTGTTCGCGTCGCCATTGACTAACGAGTCGTCGTGCAATTATTTTATTAATATAATTATAGTTTTTTTGATTAAATGTTGATTACCAAAAGTGGTCAACATAACCTGTATTTGCCGCGAAAAATTTCAAGCGTGTGTGCAGTCGTCGCCACGATCCAACAACGTGTACGGTGTATATAGCTATATAGCTGTTATCGATTGCTTTTTCAGTGTAGCATCGATAAAGACGAGTGTTCTAACGTTGTTGTTGTTTTTTGCCTTTTTTTGTTTTTTTGTTTTTCTTGTTTTTTTTGTTCTATTTTTCAAAGTTTTATATTATTATTTATATTTGTGTGTTGTGTGTAGGTAATAATATAAACACCATGAAAAGAGTGAGAGGTCTTACTATGGATTTGATAATTAAGTTTATAGTATTCTTAAAACTGCTAAAAGTATATTTCTTGATACAAGAAGAAAATATACTTATTTTAAGATTATATTCTAAAAAAGTGATTCTAAGAAAATATTCTTAATATAAGAAGATTCTATTCTTAATTTAAGAATATATTCGTGGCGCCTATTTAAGTCTCGCATATTCTTAAAATAAGTTGAAAATTCTTAAAATTAGAATATCGTTTTTTCGGTGTAGGGTTTCGTGGCTTTTTAAATTCAGATCAAAAGTTATTTGTATATAAAAAATTGGAGTTGAGTATAATAGCCCCTAGGTGGGTAGAATAGCCCCGGTTGACGGTAGAGTTTTAATAATTTTTTATTTTAGTGATTTGATTAAAACTCCCGGGCGAAACCCCAATTAAGGTGTTGACTAGATTCAAAAGAGGGCAGTTGTCAGGTCCTCAACAGTTTTCCTAGTTTAAACTAACACAGAAAATTATAAGGTATTAACACTCTAAATCTGAATTAGTAAAAATGTTTACTAATTTAAATTAGTGACTCACTGTTTGCTTTAGAATTAGTTAAATTTTACTAATTGTTAGTTAAAGTTACTAATAATTAGTAAAATTTTACTAATTCAGAAGCAAAAAGTGAGTCACTATAATTCAAATTAGTAAACATTTTTACTAATTCAGATTTAGAGAGAAAATAAGCTGCAACGCTTATTACTTTAATCCAATTTTGCTTATTTTAATGCCTTTTAATTTTCTGTGAATATAAATAAACTATTTTTTTAAAATTATTTATTGTAAACAGAATTACTAACAATTAAAAGGGATCTTAAATCAACTGTAAATCAAATAAAAAATTATTCACTAACTTTTAAGAAAAAATACAAAATGTTTATTAATTATTATTTAACAACAAATTTTAACTAAAAATAATTTTTTTTCAAAATAATTGTACAATTGGATCTGTCAAATTTGGATGTAATAAATTTTAAATATACCTATTTTCAGTTCTGTTAAAAACTACTTTTTATTTTGAGGTTATGTTAATGGGTTGAACCTCCTTAAAGTAGGTCATTCTCATATATATTTTCTTCAAAAAAAAGAAAAGAAGAAGAAAATGATGAAATATTTTTTCATAAAATTTATATATTAGTTGGGAATCAATTTTACTTATTTTTTATGATAATTTTTTATTTGTCATCGATATTTAGATATAACGGAACCTGAATTATTTTAAATATTTAATATATGCGTTGAAAATGGTTTCGACAATATATGATATGCTAATTAATTGAATTTTTACAATGTTGAAAATATTGTTTCCTACATATATTTATGTAGGCGTAATAGTACAATAATAATTAATTTCTCCAATTAATTTTAATATCTATATCACGAATTTATATCTAATTATTATTATACAAGTTTCACAAAAAAAAATTAACATTTTCTCAATGGAATTAACTACGCAATATATATATATTTGCTTATACGGCTTAATAATAGGTCTGTGAAATTTAAAATAATAATATTTGACAGGCTCTTATTTCAGTTTCTGACAAACATGATATT